TGACTATAGATTAGACAGGGATGAATAAGACACTTACTGTTTTACAAAGATTCATTATTGCCTCACTGGGAATATCAAGGTTATAGGTCCACTCAAAGCTCAGATGAGAGTCCAACAGATGACTGGTGTGTAATAAATGAAATAATGAAAAGTAGTAAGACAGCATTTCACTTTGGCTACTCTGTGCAGTCTTCACTCTCACCCTTTGCAGCATTTAGCAGGTCGCAAGGCATGTTGTCAGCAGCATCTTTTTCATCTTTCCACCCAACAGCCTTCAAGTACTAGTTCTTGCACTGATGAACTCCACAGTTAGATGATCCAGGGGGTGATCAGGGAAGCCTGGTTAGAAATGTCCCATTAGAAAGGAACAGGTACTATGTGAGATGCAGCTTTTCTTTTTCACTTCTTCAGGCACCAATGTATAAAATCTATATATTATAAAGGATTAATTTTAACTTCCCTAAGTAACAGCAGACTACCTTGTTTGGGTGAAAATGACTGCAAATACATTACTGGTTCTGATGATTCATTTTGGATTATGCTGATTTAGAAACTCAGACTAGAAGAGGTGCCCAGCAAATTTTAAAAAGTATCTGAGGTTTATCAGTAGTATCGATTAGACAGCTATCAAATTTCAGTGGGAAATATACTTTTTCATAGTAGAGTTAGATTTGATCTCAGATATTTTATTAAACCAAAGTCACATCATCATCCTACTGATTATCTGTATTCAAGTGATGTTGGAAGAATAAAACTAGAACGCATAAAAACTGCAAGTACTCAGTCATGCTTGTTTCTACTCCGAGGAAATCCAGGCTGCAAAAGCACTGGGGGTAAAACATTAATTAGCAAAGCCAGAGTTATCATCCTAATGATTTAAGACAACAGATCCTGCAGGCTAACACTGCAATGCCCCCATGAAAGAACTACGTTAATGGCCTAGAAAACAGTAGAATAGTTCAGTCTACAGGGGCATTAAGACTGGGGAAATGGAAGGTGCTGTCCCTCTGTACCAACTGTAAATATCATAGTCTAAAGAAATAAATTTCAAAAGGAAGTTGCTCTTCACATACCTCAATGCAGATACCAGAAATTTCCAGTACAAGTTTGTTAAAATGAAGTGAAAAAGACCAGGTACTGAGAATGGGCCTGGAAGCCTCATGACACTGCAAAACAAGCTGAGTATCTTGTAATTTTTAATGTATTTTTATCCTCCTATTAAAAGGAATCTCCTATCAATACATGTAGAAATACAGCAGTCATAGATGCAGCAACTTGTCCAAGAGGACACAGGAACTAAACCAATCCTGTCACTCTGTTATCTGCCTCTGAGACGTTTCTCTCCTCTCCACAGGGAACGTCTCCCAGCCATATTTTTCAAATTCCAGTTCAGGAACGTGGAATACAGCTCAGGCAGGAACAAAACCTTCCTGTGTTACGTTCTGGAGACCCAGGGAAAAGAGTCAGTGACTTCTCGGGGTTACCTGGAAGATGAGCACGCAGCTGCCCATGCAGAGATGGCTTTCTTCAACACAATCTTACCCAAGTGTGAGTCAAACCTGCGTTACAACATCACCTGGTACGTGTCCTCCAGCCCCTGTGTGACCTGTGCCGACCGGATAACCGAGACCCTCAAGAAGAACAAGAACCTGCGCCTGACCATCATGGTAGGGCGCCTCTTCATGTGGGAAGAGCCAGAAATGCAGGCTGCCCTGAAAAAAATGAAGTCAGCTGGCTGCAAGCTGAGGATTATGAAGCCTCAAGACTTTGAGTATGTCTGGCAGAACTTTGTGGAACAGGAAGAAGGAGAGGAAGCAAAGGCTTTCGTGCCATGGGAGGACATTCAAGAGAACTTCCAGTATTACGAGGAAAAGCTGGCTGAGATTTTGCACTGAAGCTCACGTGAGTGAGGATTTCCACTTGGTCACCTCCCTCCTTGTGTTAATATTACAGATTCTTTTCCCTTCAGGTTGTTGAAGGTGCCACCCAGAGCCAGTTCCAGTTACTCTTACTCTCACATGTACCTGGCTGGCTTTGCCTGTACAGGAATATTGGAAATCATCCTAGGCAGCTCCTTCCCTCTTCAAGGGCTGTAACCCCACCGGGGGCTCCGTCACAGCACACACCTGAGGGATTTAGAGTTGTTTTTTCTCTCCTCAGAGAATAAATCCAGGAATAAAGAATAAAAAGGTACCTTCTTGTTCCCCACATGCACGATACTCAGGACACAAGTGGAAACAGCACGAGGAATGTAGAGTAAAGGGGACCTCCCCAATCCCCAAACTCTAGCCCTCTGGAAGACAAAATAAAACAAATAACCAACTGCTGAAGGAAATCACAGTTATCATTCCAGAATTCCCTTCTTTTTTTCTTAAGGGGTACTAAAAAGTCACCTATTTAAGCCATAAAACATGAAAGCATTTGAAGCTTCTGACATGTCTTTCTCCCTCCTTCCCCAGGACCAATTCAGAAAACATCTATGAAGATGCATCTGTCTTGGACACCTGGGACACTCATGCTTTCCAAAGCTTTGATCCCAGCTTGGAGTACCAACTTCTGGAAGACCAGGCCCTCGTGGACTACAAATATATATAAAACACGTATCTTTGGTGTTTGGGATTTTTTTTGTTTACTTTGTTCCCCTCTTACCCTAAGCTAATAACCCACACTGCCTCTGCTGATAGGGGAAAAAAGGAAAACCTGGGTGGTTAAAACCTTGAATGAAAGGGGTGGCAGCAGCTACAGAAGGGCTGTAGGCATCTGGAACTGCTTTACCAGAGATCTTAGAACAAAGCTGCCAATTAGATAAATACATTTATAAAGTACATACTTCATAAATGTTAAAAAGAGAGGAACTGAAGACCAAAAAAACAAGTTTTCTTCCCCATCCTCCTCAATAATCAGAGCTGTGATTTAAATTAGGGCTAATTGGGCTATCCTGAGCTGTGCTGGAGCCCCAAGTACTTCATTTCAAATGCATCAAATACCTTCTCCCCTTGTTCAATGATGTTTGTGATATAAAACTGGGAACAGCAAAGTAAAATAAAATTGGAAGTCACTGCAAAAGCTACAGCACTGTTTATTCCTTCTTCTCTATTTGCAAGAGATCCTAAATTTAATCTGACAAGTGAGACATCCTGGGACAGCCACGTATGAAATATTTCATAGCTGAAGTGCAGCATGATGAGAAGGGAGAATTACTTTATGCCAAAAAAATTTGAAGAATTCACAAGAGTGGGAGGCAGAGAGAGAGAATATGGTCAGATCACTTTAGAAAACAAGGCACAGACCAACTAAGGGTCAGAGCATGCTCACCAGCTAAGAAACGGAGCCAGGGAAGGTTCTTTGTTCTAATAAAACCTTGATGTTTGTTCCTCCTGCACAGTCACAAGCTGGGATGGTGCTGGACACACAGACCTGCTGACCACACCCATCTCTTACATGAGTCAACTGGCTAAATTCACTAAACTGGTACAAATTTTCAAGGCAGAAAAAACCAGCAGCAATGGGAACACCTTTAATGAGCCCTTGTAGATTTAATGTCTTTGCCACTGGATGCAAAAACCAAACAGAAATAAGTGTAAGGACTAAATCAATTAACAGCCTTGATGTCCACTCTTGATCAGCTCAATAATCCAAGCTCCTAGTTGTCTTGCAAAGTTTATTTTTTTTCCAGTTGTGTGTTTATATACAGCAAATATCCACCAAAAACAAGCTTATAAAGGATGGTCAACAAACAATTAATGACTGGTAATGATACCAAGCTCTTAAGGACACAAAGAGGATTTCCAGATCTGCATCAGCAAAGAAACCACAAAGACAGATTAACCCACAGTGCTAAGAACAGAAAACACTCCACCCATTCAGCTCACAGTAAAAACCAATCAGGAGCCCTATGTTATACCAAAAACTTCACAACTGTTATGTCTCATCTTTTAGGTTTATTCAAGGTATCTGGCATTTTTCCGGGTGTTTGTTTTTATGGGAGGTTGGGAAAAAGCAAACAGAAAGGAAATACAAAGTATACAAACAGTTACGCAGCACTGGAATCAAACTTTCAAAGGTTGTTTACCAACTACCTGGTAAATTGAAGGTGTTACTGATTTGTTTTTCCTATTAGTGACAAGAAACACCAACCTACATGGAACAGCTAAACAATGAAACAGAAACACGAAAAACAAAACCTTACACTCCAGACTGTAACTTTTTACAACACATCAGCCATTCCCAGGAGTGGATTCTCAGCAAACAGAATTCTGCCAACTGTATGAATTAATAGGGTATAAAAGGCACCCAACAAGCTGCCTTTACACACCCCCAGCACTTCTCTTTGGAACACAACCTCCCCCTGGAACACAGTCCCAACATACACAGATATGTTTTTCAGAAGGACCATGCTCTAGCCTGACAGCAGAATACTGAAGAGCTTATGCAGGGTTGACAGCATGATTCTTAGCAAGTACAATCACGTAACAAAAAAATACACAGTATTTGTGGCCAAAAACCAGAAATAAAAATTTTAGTCCTGTAACTAAGAGAGTAAGTGAACTGTATGCCAGCCATGAACACTGCAAAACTAAAAAAAAAACCAAAAAACAACTGACAGGGCTCCACAGCTCATCAACAACCCTAACTACAAACCAACACGCATCTCAGCAACAGGGAGCTCCAATTTCATTCTGTCCACGAGCTGCAAGCTCTAAGGAGCAGCTCTAGCTCAGGCAAGTGCTTTATGGAGGACCAGTGACATCTGGTGGCTTCCTGGGACAGTCTGGGCACTCCCAGTGGGTTACAACACTCCTGCCTTCTTCACAGTCTCCTTGATCACCACATTCCAAATTAGCTGCTCTGGAGCTTTTTTTTTTTCGTGGTTGTTGTTAAAAGCCACTGCCAACACAGGGTGAGCCACGCTCAGACGAAGGATGTGCTCAGCATGCAGTTTCCCCCCCTCATCAGTTAACAGGTTTCCACTCCTGAAAGCAAGGGAAATGGGGCTCTGCTCACAGGGTGTAAACTGTGATCTTTATATCTGTGTCTTCAAATACTTCCTCAAGTATTCCTGAAACTTTATCCCACTCCAGGCGGTCAAGTCCACATCCAATCCTGGAAAGCAAGACATCAAAGTAACAGTCTCTTTTAGAGCATGTTATAAACACCTAGCCCTTCAAGCAGCTACAGTTTTCTGTGGCACTAACTCAGCTCACCATGAATCAACATAATGCTGTTAAAATAAGGAAACAACCAAGCCTGTGTGTTTTGCTACGATTTAAACGCACTGGAAAATGCAAATTTTATTTGCACAAATGAACAGAGTTGATTAGAAGTGGATACTGGAACTCTTCCTTCACAGCAGGAGACTATCTCTCAAACATCCTTCTACGCAAGAAACACTGAAGTATTTACATGGCAGTAACTAATTTTCTTACTTGGGCATGGAAATGTCAGTAACTCCATTGTTCAGGCAATGAGCTTTCATGGCTTCTAAACTCTTCCGCATGTTCTCGTAGGTCGGTTTGTGAGACACTTTCTGCTTCGTGATCTTAAGTACAAATGTGACAGGTCAGTTCTGCCTTGGACACAATCACTACTAGCTATTTTCTTTTCTAAAAAACTCTGAAACTCCACACTCAGACTTGCTACTAGGAAGAGAAAAAGAACAGTTTCACAGCTTAAAATAGCGTAACTTAGCAGCTAGTTCTGTCAATTTAAATTTGAATATACATACACAGAGAGCCTGGATTCTCTTTGACTATTGAGATTTGAATGGGCATAGAATCATATCACAGAATGGTTTGGGTTGGAGGGACCTTAAAGATCATTCAGTCCCAACCCCCCTGCATGGGCAGGGACACCTCCCACCAGCCCAGGCTGCTCCAAGCCCCATCCAACCTGCCCTTCAACACTGCCAGGGATGGGGCAGCCACAGCTTCCCTGGGCAATCTGGGCCAGGGTCTCACTACCCTCACAATAAAGTATTTCTTTCTAATGTCCAACCTAAAACTCCCCTCTTTGTTTTAATCCGTCACCTCCCACGAGAAGCCATTGGTCAAAGCCCCTCCCCAGCTTTCCTGGAGCCCCTTCAGGCACTGGAAGCTGCTCTGAGGTCTCCCTGGAGCCTTCTCTTCTCCAGGCTGAACACCCCAACTCTCTCAGCCTGTCACATCTATCTCACACCATCTATTTAGAAGAAACTCAAAAAATCCCACAACTAAAGCTTTCATCATCACATCTAACAGAGTGAAGTGCCTGAGTAATGTCCTGCTCTTACCAGGTAATAAATGTATCGGTCCTCTCTTTGGAGAACTGCCACCTCCCCAGTCTTTTTTTCTGAAGTGAAGAAATGAAGAAGGTCCTTTAACAACAGTTACACCCCACTACCCAATCCCTACACCCCAAGTAGCCTGGAAACCCTTACTGCTGGAAATCAAAGGTTTTCAGCTCCTGCATGTCCACCCCACGTGTTATCACTCACGTTGATCCAACAGCTCTTGAACGCCTCCGAACTTTTTCTTAAAAAGCACAGCAATGCCTGCCCCCATGCGACAGTCCTCGCTGATGCAATGAGCCAAGGCATCCGTCTGGGGGCATGAGAAAAGGTCCCCCTTGACACACTTGATCTGGAAAGCAACACAAACGGAAGGGTAAACAAAAACAAGCTAAGAGTGCAGACTCAAGAGAGCAGGATACTCCGTAAGAGGGAACCAGACAAGCCCCCACAGTAAAGAGTATAAGTTGCAGTTCACGTGTAAATGCGTTGGCATGAATGAGAAACCCAGCACACAGATAACTACCTTTTCTACAAGATCAGTTACAAGTATCACATGCCAGCTTAGCAGTTAATTTATACAGAATCAATGCTTAAAAAGGATGATTCCGGTAACAGAGAGTACAGCTGGATTAGCAAACACCTTCAGCACACAATCAGTGTGTCAGTGCTGGATAACCCCAGACACTTTGTTAAGTAGATAAGCATTGTGCTGTTGTACAGTATCTGCAACACTAACATAAGCAAAAAAGGACAAGGGATTTAGCAATATCAGCCACTTTCCTCCCAAAAGCTACATGGTACAGCCAGCTGCCACGCTAGAGGGGGGCAGAAGGCCTCTTTAGATACACATCCCAGCAGCAGCCCACGTAACACATTTGCTACGCACTCTCTCCTCCTGATCCTTGGAGAAGTGGGTGGCCATGGTAACGTGGGCTACGTTGAAGAGTCCTGCAGCTGGAAAGATGACAGAGAGAAAAACAAGAGTTATTAGGAACGCCAAAAGTAGGCAAATAAGCTGAGGGGCCAGAAGGTGCAAGGCTAAATCTGCTTTATCTACGGGACAGCTGGGACAACCGAGACACCCCCTGAAAAAGAGCCGGGGGGGAGGCCTGTACCCCTGAGCGGTGCGAGCCTTCCAGCTGCAAGTCCTGCAGCTGGAAAGATGACAGAGAGAAAAACAAGAGTTATTAGGAACGCCAAAAGTAGGCAAATAAGCTGAGGGGCCAGAAGGTGCAAGGCTAAATCTGCTTTATCTACGGGACAGCTGGGACAACCGAGACACCCCCTGAAAAAGAGCCGGGGGGGAGGCCTGTACCCCTGAGCGGTGCGAGCCTTCCAGCTGCAGCCCCCCCGCCCGGGAGGGCCCAGGAGGCCCCGGCTCACCACAGAACCAGCACCCACAGGCTTCAACCCTCCTCCCCGTCACCCCCGCCCCTGCAGGAACCCGCTCAGCAGGGCACACC